GTAAAGTCTCTAGACCATATACCAACAATGAATGAATGGAATGTGAAATTAAAAACACAATACCACTTACATCAGTATCCTCCAGTGAAATATTTAGGTATAAATTTTACTATATATATATATATATATATATACATATATATATATATATGACATATATGGGTAAAGCTACAGAACTCTGATAAAAGAAATCCAAGAAAAACTAGACAAATGGAGAGATAGCCCATGTTCATGGATAAGAAGACTCAATGTGGTCAAGATGTCAGTTCTTCCCAACTTGACCTACAGATTCAATGTACTCTCAATCAAAATTCTGGCAAATTATTTTGTAGGTATTGACAAACTGATTCAAAAGTTTATATGGAGAGGCAAAAGATCTGGAATAGCTAACACAATATTAAAGAAGAACAAAATCAGAGGACTGATTCAACCAGACTTCAAGACGCACTATAAATCTACAGGGATTAAGAGAGTATGATATTCTTGAAAGAATAGATCAATAGATCAATAGGACAGAATAGAGAGTCCCTAAATAGAGCCACATAAATATAGTTAACTGGTGTTTGACAAAGGAGAAAAAGCAATACAATGGAGAAAAGATAGTCTTTTCAAGAAATAGTGCTGGAACAACTGGACATCCACATATGAAAAAAATATGTTATACACACAGACATAGACCTTACATCCTTCATATAAATTAACTCAAAATGTATTATATACCTAAATATAAAATGCCACAAAATATAAAACTCCTAGGAGACAAAATTGGACAAAATCCAGATGACTTTGGGCATTATGAAGACTTTTTAGATAAAACACTAAGGGCACAATCCATGAAATAAATCACTGATGAGCTGGAACTCAATAAAATTAAAAACATTTTTTCTGTAAAAGACACTGTTAAGAGTGTGAGAAATCCAGTCACAGAGTTGGAGAAATTATTTACAAAATACATATCTGATAAATAACTGTTATTCAAACTATAAGAGAATTTTTAAAACAATAACAACAAGAAACAATAAGAACAACAAGAAAGTGAACAACCCAATTAAGAAATGGGCAAAAAATCTGAACAGACATCTCAGCAAAGGAAATATAGAGTTGGCAAATAAGCATATGAAAAATGTTCAACATCATTAGGGAACTGTAAATTAAAACAATGGTAAGATTCCGTTACACACCTATAACAATGGTGAAATTCTAAAACACCGACCATGACAAATGCTGGTGAAGATGTGGAGCAACAGGATAATTTCACTCATTTCTGGTGGTGATGCAAACTGGTGCAGCCACTTTGGAGAACAGTTCCATGTTTTCTTACATAGCATAGTTTTACAGTATGATCCAGCAACTGCACTCCTTAGTGATTACCCAAATAGGCTGAAAATTTATGTTTGTGTAAAACCCTGCACACAGATGTTTATAGCAGCTTTATTCATAATTGCTAAAAATTGGAAGCACTCAGGCTGCCCTTCAGTAGGTGAATGGATAAAGAAACTGTGACACATCTAGAATATGGGCTATTACTCAGCACTAAAAAGAAATGTGTTCTCAAACCATGAAAACACATAAATGCATATTATATCTTTTTTCTTTAAAAAAAGAAAGAAGTCAATCTGAAAAGGCTACACACTGTATAAGTTCTACTCTATGACATTCTGGAAAAGGCAAAACTTATAGAGACAGTTAAAACATCAGTGGTTCTCAGAGGTTAGTAGGGAGGCAAGGAGGAACACAGAGGATTTTGAGAGCAGTGAAACTCTCCTGCATATGACTATGATGGGGGATATGTCATACACTTGCTAAAACTCAAAGAATGTACAACACCAAAAGTGAACCCTAATGTAAATTATAGTATCAACTACATGGTTGAAACTGATGTGTCAAAGGAAGTTCATCAATTGTAAGAAATGTACCAATTTGGTGGAGAATATTGATAATGAGGGAGGCTATGACTTTGTGGGTGCAGGGAGTATATGGGATATATCCATAACTTCCACTCAATTTGTGATGAACCTTAAACTTTAAAAAATAAAGTCTATCAAAAAATAAGAATACCCTCTTGCACTGTTGGTGGGAATGTAAACGGGTGCAGCCACTCTGGAAAACAGTAGGGAGGTGCCTCAGAAAGTTAAAAATAGAACTACCCTATGACCTAGCAATTGCACTACTAGGTATTTATCCAAAGGATACAGAAATACAACTTCAAAGGGGTACATGCACCCGGATATCTATAGTAGCATTTCAACAATAGTCAAACTATGGAAAGAGCCTAAATGTCCATCAACTGATGAATGGATAAAGAAGATATGGTGTATGTATTCGATAGACTATTACTCAGCCATCAGAAAGAATGAAATCTTGCCATTTGCAACGATATGGATGGAGCTAGAGTGTATTATGCTACGTGAAATAAGTCAGTCGAAGAAAGACAAATACCATATGATTTCACTTATATGTGGAATTTAAGAAACAGAACAGATGAACATATGGGAGGGGGAAAAAAGAGAGAGATAGGGAAACAAACCACGAAAGACTCTTAAGGATAGAGAACAAACTGGGGGTTGACGGAGGGCGGTGGGTGGGGGAGGGGCTAGATGGCTGATGCATATTAAGGAGGGCTCTTGTGATGAGCACTGAGTATTGTATGTAAGTGATGAACCACTCAATTCTACTCCTGAAACCAATATGTTAACTAACTAGAATTTAAATTAAAATTTGAAACAAACAAAAAGAATACTGTATCTCAGTGGGAGGAAAATGACCATGTTCATTTTTTATAATAGCTAAGATAAATTGAATGTTACATGTATTAATCTTCACATTGAATCTTACGTTTTTCAGAGTTTCTGCAATAAACATATTACTTTCATCACCAGAAAATTTTCTTAGTAAATATATATTTACAAAATAGATGCTATTAAGATCAAAGTCTTCAGGTTGGTGATGATTCTAGGAATTACTTACTGCAAGTGAGATTTTGTCTAAAGGATTAAGGATGTTTTACAGGAGGGTCTTGGAGTGAGTGAGACATGTTGACTATCTTTACATATTTGAAACACAGTCAGTTGGAAAAGGAGTTGGACTCTGTCTCCATGGCTTCAAAAAGTGAATAGACCCAGTGAGTGAAAATCCCAGGAAGGTAAGATTGGGCTCAGTATATGAATGCCTTTTCAGATGATTCTTTTTTCTTCTTCTTCTTCTTCTTTTAAAGATTCATTCATCCATTTTAGAGAGGGAGAGAGAGAGCATGAAGGGGGGCTGGGGTGGGGCTGAGAGAGTGGGAGAGAAGCAGACTCCCAGCTGAGCTTGAAGCCCACACAGGGCTCCATCCCAGGAGCCTGAGATCATGACCTGAGAGGAAATCCAAGAGTCCTTTGCTTAACTGACTGAGCCACCCAGGCACCCCAGGCACCAGAGAATTCTATTCAAAATTGTAATTCATCTAAATCAGTGAATATTTATGAATTTATGCATCCAGAAGTTTGGAAGAGTAGGAGTCTAAGGCCATTTTCAACTCTGAAATTCTGTCTTTATTTATATTAGTGCAGATTAATCAGAGTGAAGAGCTAAGGTTTACCTGTTTTTGTTGTTTCTTGGTTTTGTTTAAGATGAAATTTTACATCAACCTTGGAAAACACAAGGTGGTGTGTGGGTGAGGGAAGAATAATTGTGAAGCTTATCCACGGCTTCAGTGCAATTTTAATATTGTTATCAGGAAACAGAAAGACATAAAAAGCAAAAAGAAAGAGGCCTATTTATATAGCAATGAGAAAGATAACAGAACACAGAACTGATTTAAATATTATTTATTCCTTCTTCGAGTTGGTCCGCACTCCTACCCCCACCCAGCCCTTCTTTCTTCAACTTTCCCCACTTTCCCTATTCTGGTGTTGTACAGTATTGACTTTCTCCTGCCATCAGCCCTTGTCACCCATGAGCCACAGGCTTCCTCCGGCTCTGAATTGCTTTATTTTGTAAAGCAGACGGTAAGTTTGTTGAGCAAACAGATCTAGCCTAGAATCTGCTTCACATTCAACCGTTTACTGTACGATAGCAGCCTCCCACTTGTCACCGGCTCTCACACAATAGGAGTCCTTGAAGCCCTCTGTCCCCAGGTCTGGTGGCTGCGAATCCTGGCAAAGCCATGGAGCCCGCGCAGGGCACCTTCAGCGCGTGGGGCGGGGGGAGGGCCGGGGGAGGGCGGGGGCGGACGCAGGTCTCCAGCCAGAGGGCGCCGTACCCACCCCCCCCGCAGACGCCCCAAGGGCCGTCCAGGCGCTTCCCGACCTTTCCTCGACCAGAGTCGGGGGCTCAGTCTGCGTGTAAGGAAAGTCTCTCTTCCATAACTCCCCACCCACAGTTTGCTTCTCCGGCAGTTTCTTCTGGACTGTCGCTGCCCAGTCATCCCTAGCTTCACAATCCCTGCCCACTCCGACACCCCAGGAGGCCCCCCAACCCGGCGGTAACTCCGGGGAGCCCCTCCCGCTGGGGCCGGGACTCCTGAGGACTGGCATCTGCGCTAGGGGTCCAGAGGGGCTTCTCCGCTTCCTGGGCACCCCGAGGGGAAAGCGGGGTGTGGCGGGGGGAGGCTGAGGGCAGGGTGGGAGCCCGGGGAGCGGAGCGGGTGCGGGCTCGGGAAGGGCGCCGGGTCAGGCGGGGAGGGGAGGAGAGGAGGCCACACAGGGGCTTTCGGTTTGCTGGGGTCTGATTGGAGGTTGGCCCGATGAGTCGGAGCTGGGGGCGCGCCCATCTCCGCGGGCTCCTGCGAGAGCCGCCGGCTCGGCCCCTCCCCGGAGCCGCTTTGTCCCGGCTGACGGCGGCCGAGGTTTGCGGGGAGGAGCGGGCGGGAGGCCGAGAGCGAGGGACACAAGGACCTCGAGACCGGGAGGCGGGGCGCGCCGCGCACGGCCCCACGCCCAGGCCCGCGGGCAACGCGCCCGCCCCCACGCGCTCGCACCGGCGGGCAGGTGAGCCGGCAGCGCCGCGCCCGCAGTAGCCGGCCCCGCGGACGCCCGAGCCGCCGCCTCAGCCTCTGCCGGCGCATCGCGGACGCCCAGCAGGTCGGTTATGTAACCGCGCTGGCCCGCTTGCCCCTGCGCCCAGTCCTGTCGGGGCTGCGCGCTGCGCCCCGGCCGTGCCGGAGGACGCGGCAGGGGGCGGGCGAGCGCGGCGTGGTTCCGGGGCCGGGCAGGGGGGAGGCAGCGGCGGAGGGGCGGAGGGTGGTCTGCTCCAGCTGTCAGCCCCCGCGGCGGCCTGGGGGGGGTGGGGATGGGGGACAGAGGTCTGCCTTGACCCCCCCTCTAGAGGGCGCGGGTCTCAGAGAGCCCCTGCCCCATTCCTAGTGCCTCAAAGGTTCGCCTTTCCAGTAGCAGCAGGTGCGTAAGTAGAACAAGCGAGGATGACGCCTGTGGCCCCCGGGACTGAGGTTTGGAGAGAGGGAAAGGGCAGGTGGACTACACTCTGAGAAAAAAGGAAGAAAACGGAGAAACTCCTTTCCCAGTGCTTACAAAGAAGTGCCGGGGACGAGGAAGGTACTTTGAGGCACAGCGGGCTGGGAATTGTCCTGCCTGGGATTAGCGGGCATGGGTCATCTAAAAATAACTTCAAGTTTGAAAAGTGAAATAGAAGGGAGTGCAATGTGCCGAGTTTGTCTGCCTGTGGGATGCTTCGCTCTAGAAGTCACCAGAGGGAACTGGCAAATCCCGGCCGCCTGGCCTCACTGGTTTCCAGGGTGTCTCAGTTTGACTTTTAGTTAATGATTTATTCTCCAAGGTACTGTTTTTTTCTTATCCCAGAATGAATTATAGCAGAGTGCATATTTCAAGTGTTCAATGGACATCTAATTTAGAGTTCCCTACCTGAGGTTTTTTTTTTTTTTTTTTAGTAAAAACAAAAGTTTCTGGGCTCCCTTTAACATACAGTCCCACAAATGAAGGTGAAAAAAATGCTACAACGTTCCAGTCCATACTTCTTCCTTACTTCAGCTAGAATCCCGCTTAACCTGTCACACAGAGGGTATGCTTTAGAAAAAGGACATTTTTAAAAAATGCCACTCAACTTTCTCACATATTACATCAACATCAAAACACAGGGCAAATATATCACAAGTACAGGGCAACACTTGCTAACTGGCCCCCCTCCATTCTGGGGAAACAGTCAAGTCAGAAAATTTCAGAAGCTGGAAAGGATCAAGAAGCAGGTCAGCACTGACTGTGGAACAAGGCAGGGGAGTGAGCATTTGGCTGCTTCTCAGTCTAGCCATTGATTTTCTTTAGCCTTAGAGCTATTATCTTAAGTATAATCAGTCATTGCATTGAATTAGTCTACAATGTGAGTTGCACTTTGCTTTCAAATCCACTGCAAATCAAATCAGCATTTATTGAGCACCTACTACCCAAGTCCAGTCCAAAGAATTTTGTGAGGGGAAAAGTGTCCTCAGATAAAGCTACAGGATTGCAGGAGCTTTCAGAATGTCTGGTGTGTGCAGGTCCTGCAGAACCCAACTAAATCTGGGAGGATGTGGTGCTCTCTCTCCATTGATGAACATTTAAGAAGCCTAAGTGGGAACTTGAGAGATTTGCCATTTACAAGTTCTTATCACACTCTTCTGAAAAGTATTTACATAATCGTTTGTTATATATATTACAGAAATGAGCTTTAATTGAGATCAGCTTTGATAGTCACTGAGGTCTCGTTTTTTTTTTATTCCTTTTACTTTGGGTACCATCCACTTGGTTTATTCAGCAATTCTTTGTTACGCATGTATTGTGTGTTATGTAGGTCCTGTGGCAGTGGATAAAAGAATGAGGCCCATGCCTTTCAGGAATCAATCTAGCAGAAAAGAAAGATAAGAAAATAAGTGATAGTGATCACTGTGGTGAATGGTTAGTGGAGATAGGAGCAAGTTCATTGGAAGCCCAGAGAAGAAGGGTGGAGGGAATCTGAAAGAGCTTGCAGAGAAGTTCATGTTTGGACTACATTCCAGTAGGCAGTTGCAATTTTCTAGAGAAGGGGCTAGGTAGGTGTTCCACATGGAAGGAAAGTTTGTGTTGAAAGAACATCTGGGTGCTCTGAAGTGAGGGGGTGGCAGGAGAGTTGGGGGGGGGGGGTGTTTCAGTGAGCCTGGGTTGTGAATATACCCTGCTGAAGAGGAGAAATTATACAGCCTTTATGAGAGAAATGATTTTATCTAATTTGTATTTTGCACAAGTGACTTTGGAGGTGGTAAGTAGGTGGTGTTGCAAAAGGGGAAGGAGCTGAGATTTTAGACTACTGGAGTGATCCAAGCAAAAATAAATAAGTAGATAAAATTAGTTGTGCCTGAACCAGGTAGAATAGAGAAAGAGAAGAGAGATCCTCAGAGAGCCATTTCAGAGGGAAAATCAGAGGCGCTAGGTCACCAAGTGGGTAAGTGTGTGTAAGGAGTTGATGTCTAGATGGATGGTCAGGTTTTTAACTGAGTTAGGAATTAAGTGAGAAAGATTAGGTTTGAGAAAGATGGGGAATTTTAACTGAAATAGTTTCCTCTAAGATCAGGAACAAAACAGGGATGCTCACTCTTGCCACATAGTTCTGGAAGTCTTAAATACAGAGCAATTAGGCCAGAAAAATAAATAAATTGAAAGGCAGCAAATAAGCAAGGAAGAAGTAAAACTGTCTCTATTTGCAGATGAGATATATATATATATATATATATATAACTGTAAAGACTCCACTAAAAAACTGTTAGAACTAATAAACAAATTCAGTAAAGTTGCAGAATATAAAATCAATATACAAAAATAAGTTTCATTTCCATACACTAATAATGAACTATCAGAAAGGGAAAGTAAAGAAACAATCCCATTTATAGTTAAATCAACAAGAAAAAATACCTAGGAATAAATTTGCTCAAGGAGATGAAAGACTTGTACACTGAAAACTATGACATTGATGAAAGAAATTGAAGAAGACACAAATAAATGGAGAAGTATTCCATGCTCATGGGTTGGAAGAATTCTTACTGTTAGAATGTCCATACTACTCAAGGCAATCTACAGATTCAGTGCAATCCCTATCAAAATGCCAATGGCTTTTTCACAGAAATAGAACAAACAATCCTAAAATTTGTATGGAACCACAAAGACCCCAAATAGTCAAAGCAATCTCAAGAAAGAAGAACAAGCAGGAGGCATCACGCTTTCTGATTTTAAACTATGTTACAAAATTATGGTAACCAAAACAACATGGCATAAAAACACATACATAAATCAGGGGAACAGAATAGACATCTCCAAAATAAACCCACAAATATATGGTCAATTATTTTATGATGAAGGAGCCAAGAATATACAATGAGGAAAGGATAGTTTCTTCAATAATGGTGTTGGGAATACTGGACAGCCATATGCAAAAGAATAAAACTGGACCACTGTCTTATACCATACACAAAAATTAATTCAAAACGGATGAAAGTCTTGAATGTAAGATTTGAAGCCATGAAATTTCTATAAGAAAACATAGGGGGTAATGTCCTTTACATTGATCTTGGCAATGATTTCTTGGATTTGTCAACAAAAGCAGTGAAAACAAAAGCAAAAATAAATGGGACTACATCAAACTAAAACTTCTTCAAAACAAAGAAAACCATTAACAAAATGAAAAGGCAACCCATGGAGTAGGATAAACTATTTGTAAATCATTTATCTGAAAAGGGTTAATATCCAAAGTATATAAAGAACCCATATAATTCAATAGCAGAAAAACCCCTAAACAATCCAATTAAAAAATGGACAGAGGATCTGAATACACATATTTTTTTTTTCAAAGAACACAGGCACATGGCCAATAAGTACGTAGAGAATTGCTCAACATCACTAACCATCAGGGAAGTGGAAATCAAAACCACAATGAAATATCACCTGACACTTATTAGAATGACTATTACCAAAACAAAACAAAACAAAACAAAAAAACAAGAGGTAACTGTTAGCAGGGATGTGGGAAAAAGGGAATCCCTGTGCACTGTTGGTGGGACTATAAATTGGTGTGGCCATTATGGAGAACAGCATGGAAGTTCCTAAATGAATTAAAAGTAGAACTATTACATGATCCAGCAACCCCACTTATGGAAATTTATCAGGAGGAAACAAAATCACTGTCTTGAGAAAATATCTGCACCGCATGTTCACTGCAGCATTATTTACAATCGCCAAGACGTGGAAGCAACCCCAGTGTCCACAGATGAATGAATGGATATATATGGAATAGAATAGAATAGAATATTAATCAGCCATAAGAAGAAGAAAATCCTGTCATTTGCAACAACATGGATGGACCTTGAGGGCATTATGCTAAATGAATAAGTCAGACAGAGAAAGATAAGTATTGCATGATCTCATTTATATGTGGAATTTGAAGGAACCAAGCTCATAGATACAGGGAAGAGATTTGTGGTTGCCAGAGAGTGGGGGATGGCAAGTGGACAAAATGGGAGAAGGGGGTCAAAAGGTACAAACTTCCGGTTATAAGATAAATAAGCCCTGGGGATGTAATGTATAGCATGGTGATTATAGTTAATAATCCTGTACTGTATATTTGAAAGTTGCCTAGAGAGTAGATCTTAAAAAAGTTGTCATCATAAGGAAAAAAATGTGTAACTATGTGAGGTGATGGATGTTTACTAAACTTATTGTGGCAGTCACTTTGCAATATATACAAACACCAAATCATTATGATATACACCTAAAATAAATATAATATTATATATTAGTTATATCTCAATAAAACTGAGGGAAAAGGGAAGTTAATGAGAAGGTAGGTTTGAGAAAGATGGGGAATTTTGACTTTCAACATCAAACGAAAATGCTCCGTAGGCAATTTTGTTTTCAAAGGTAATTTCTTTATTTCTGGTGCTAACCTTCTACTCATCTCACCTTCATTCCCGAGACTGTTAGGCCTGCCTTTAGAGAAGATGGAGATGAATTTGATAGCAGGAAGTTGTTTCTACCTCCTTCCCCAAAGGTGAAAGTATGAGCTGTCAATTATCTGAACTAGACTAGTAGTAAGAGTAAAAATAATT